GAGGCACCAGGGGCTGCGTCGCCAGGGGCTCCGCGGAGGTGCTGCAGGTGCCCCAAGTGACGCCCCTTCCCTACTCTACCTGGAGGCCTAGCCCAGCGAGCCCTTCCCCCAGTGAAGGGCGAACTGAGGAGGGCTGGGTGTGCAGGCAGGCGCACCCCCCCCCGGCCCCAAACCTGTGCCCAGGGAAGTGGTCCCTAGCATCCAAACTTCTTTCTTGGGCTTGTAGCCAGAGTTGCACCTAGCAACACCAGTTGTACCTGCCAGGAATCCCAGGAGGTTCATGGAGCCAGGCTCCATTAACCAAGGAGCAGTCCCCTTGAAGGGCCAGTCTGGACATCTGAAGAGCAAAGGCGGGCATGGATCAGCTCACAAGGCTTTGCCTGAGCCGATGCAGAGCAGTGCCTCTGAGAACTGGAGGTGCAGCTAAGGCTGGTGCAGGAGCAATAAGCATCCCGCGAGTGCCAGGCACCTCTGCTCCTGCACCCCCCTCATCACATCTCTTTGGAAGCAATGTTCTCTTGCAATGGCACAGAAGGAACAGAGACCCTGCCATGGAGAAGCTCCATCCCACCACCAGGATATACACCATCACCCGCCCATCGGTGTCATGAAGGCACCAAGAGCATACCCATGTCCACAAGCACAGGTCAGCACCAAGGGAACTCATCCCATCTCACATGATAGGATCATAGAATAGAATCAATGAATCATAGAATCAAGGAATCATAGAATCAAATAATGGTTTCAGTTGGAAGGGACCTTAAAGATTATCTTGTTCCAACCCCCCTGCCATGGGCAGGAACACCTTCCACCAGACCAGGTTGCTCCAAGCCCCATCCAACCTGGTCTTGAACACTTCCAGGGATGGGGCATCCACAGCTTCTCTGGGCAACCTGTGCCACTGCCTCACCACCCTCACCATGAAGAATTTCTTCCTTATATCTAATCTAAATCTTTCCTCTTCCAGTTTAAAGCCGTTGCCCCTTGTCCTACCACTCCATGCCCTTGTAAAATGTCCCTCCCCAGCTTTCTTGTAGGCCCCTTTTAGGTACGGGAAGGCTGCTCTAAGGTCTCCCTGGACCCTTCTCCAGGCTGAACAACCTCAACTCTCTCAGACTGTCTTCCTAGGAGAGGTGCTCCAGCCCTCTGATCATGGCCCTCCTCTGGACTCACTCCAACAAGTCCATGTCCTTCTTGTGTTGGAGGCCCCAGAACTGAAGGCAGTACTACAGAGGGGGATCTTACCAGAGTGGAGGAGAGGGGCAGAATCCCCTCCCTCAATCTGCTGGCCACACTGCTTTGGATGCAACCCAGGACATGGTTGGCTTTCTGGGCTGCCAGCACACATGGCCGGGTCATGGTGAGCTTCTCGTGAGCCAACTCCCCCAAGTCCTTCTCCTAAAGTCCTTTTCCTCGGGGCTGCTCTCGATCCATTCTCCTCCCAGCCTGTATTTGTGCTTGGGATTGCCCCAACCCACATGCAGGACCTTGCACTTGGCCTTGTTTAACTTCAGGAGGTTCTCATGGGCCCACCACTCAAGCCTGTCAAGGTCCCTCTGGATGGCATTCTTTCCTTCCAGCATGTCAACCGCACCACACAGCTTGGTGTCGTTGGCAAACTTGCTGAGGGTGCACTCCATCCCACTGTCCATGTCACCAACAAAGATGTTAAACAGCACCATTCCTAAAACCGACCCCTGAGGAACACCATTCGTCACCGTCTTCCACTTGGACAGCAAGCCGTTGACTGCATCTCTTTGTGACCATCCAGCCAATTCCTTATCCACCGAGTGGTCCATCCATCAAATCCATGTCTCTCCAATTTAGAGACAGGGATGTTGTGCGGGACAGTGTCAAATGCTTTGCACAATTCCAGGTAGATGACATCAGTGTGTGATGGGACACTCATGTTGGAACAATCTGTAGTGGTTATTAAAGATTCGCAGGCAGGTATGAAGAAACAGACTGAGAAAAGATGATGTCTATACCCTGTTCCAGAGCTAGAGGAAAACAAGGGTCACCAATCTTCTGAATGCTTCTTTGCAGTCAAGGGCTTCTGGAGATGCACACACAAATAGCAAACCTGCTATCTTGGAGACAGGGCTAGAGGGAAACCCAGCTTAGTATATATACACTTCACAGGAGACAGCATGAGAAAGATGAGGTTTCCTGGCACCTGGCCCACCCTGATCAAACCACTGCAACTGAATTCAATATCAAAATTCTCACCAATTCCATGAGTTTCATGTTTTTTCCATCCATTTTCTCCTCAGATGTATTGAGGAAAGAATCCACCTGTATTGTCTTCATGTCTGTTGTGCAGATGAGGAAATGCTGCATGTGCGCACGTAAAGGGATTTCTCTTGTCTCACAGGCCTGGGAGTCTGACAGAGACACAAAAGGGTGAAGCCATAGGCGCCATTATTTGTACAGAAATAGTTTAAATCTGAGGAAGATATACACCTTCAACACCCTGTACCTTCAAAAGAAGTGAAAGGAAACATGACACATCCTGTTTCTACAAAACCTTTTCCAGTAACTCCAAAGAAAATCTTGAAACTTTTAAGGGTTTGCAAAGCTATTTACCTTCATTCATAGTTTTCCTGTTTTCCTCTGAGGTCAAACAGATTTATGTGTGAAAGGACAAACTGCACTTGACAGAGTGAAGCCGTCTGCCACTTCTTGTTTACAGCAGTTCTGTGAAGCTAATCCCAGAGCTGGACTGGCTTGTCAGACCCTCTAGCATCAGGGTCTCCCTAGACTTCCCCATCCCAATCCTCAGGATCTGCACCAGCAGTCAACTTCCAAGTTTGCCCGGAATTACTGTTTTCCAATTGCTTACAGTACTGATGGTGGTCCTGTCCTTGTATCAAGCAGGCATCCAGGATGGTACACACAGTTACTATTGCTGTGGCATTGCTCTTTTGCCTTTGCTATCTCACTACTCTTTCTTCGACCACTTGATATTAGGAAAAATTTCTTCACCAAAAGGGTTGTCAAGCATTGGAACAGGCTGCCCAGGGAAGTGGTTGAAGCACCATCCCTGGAGGTGTTAAAAAGATACGTAGATGTGGTGCTTAGGGACACAGTTTATTGGTGGAGTTTGCAGTGTTAGGTTTGTGGTTGGACTCGATGATCTTAAGGGTCTTTTCCAATCTAAATGATTCTATGATTCTATGAATCTGATGCTTTAAAAAAGCATAAGCTTTTTTTTTATCCATCTAATTGTACACCCAGTTACACTGTAATGTCCTCTCTTGGATACGCTGCATAGGAAACACTGGCAGAAGAACCTGTCCAGGCCTGACACATACGCAGCCTGCAGCCGTTTGCCTCTGTGTCTAAGGTTTTACTGCGAGCTGCTGTGGCCTTGCAGGGTTACATGACCCTGCCCTGCATTGCAAGCAGACAAGTGAAGCCAAGGCAAGGAGCCCAGCTGCATTTCCCTGGAGCTGCGCCTGAACTCAGGGCAAGAAGGGGCTTCTGGGGTCATCAGAACTTGCCCTGGAGTCCAGTTCTCAGATTTAGCAGGAGGCAGAAGAGGGAAAATATTTTTTTTTCCAAGCAATCTCCCCTGCGGGCCCTTTGCAGGCTATCCTCGCCTCTCCCCAGAGCCTCTTGAGCAGGAGATGGCCACCTGCCAGGTCCTCGCATCCTGACCCACTTTTCCTGAGAACTCAGCAAGGCAGAGTTTCACAGACAAGAGGAAATCCCTGAACAGCATGCAGTCCAGAGAGTGGAAAAGTTTTTCGGGGGGGGTTGGATTTGCTTCCCCCGCCCTCCCCCCAACTTCCCCCTGAATGTATTTGACAGCTTGCTGTCTCTGTCAGCACAGGATCCCAGTGGAAACCAGTGGGAGGGCTCTTCCTGCCTGGGGGAGGCTTTCCAGGAGCACGAGGGATTTACTAATTGCCACCTTTCACGCCCTGTCACTTTCTGTGTCCCACTGAAAGCCATGTGCAGTAGTAAGCTGCAGACAGGTTTGCTGGTGGCCGGCTACTTCGTCTACCTGCTGATGGGTGCCGCCGTGTTCCAGGCGCTGGAGAGGACCGCTGAAAAGCAGGAGAAAATGGCAGCTGCCCAGATGAAGGAGGTTTTTCTGCAGAACTTCACCCACCTCACGGTGGCAGAGATGGAGCAGTTCATGAAGGTAAGTGCCAGCCCTGCGTAAGCCCTTTCTCCCTGCTCTTTCCCCATCAGATGTTGTTTCTTACTCAGCCTTGCTACGCAGATAACTTTCACTATGTTCCTACTGATGTGGTCATTTGGGTGATTTTAGCAAAGCCCAAGCCCACTCTCCAGTCTGAGCAGGCAGGTCACGCTGATGGTAAATAAAGCTTGTGTAGCTTGACAAAACCTTGTGTGTTATTCCCCATGTCTCAACTCTTTGGTGTCCTGCCTCCTGTTGAGTGGGCTTTTGGTGGGGCTGTGCTTACCTACAGTGGGTGGCATGGCAGGAAAAATGAGGCTGCGTGAAATGAATGGGTGTGGTTGCCACTTAAAACAGTGTCACAGATAGCACAAAGGAACAATATGGCAAGGTCTGAAATAATCTGTTGGGTAAAAAAAAGAAGCTCAAATCACTACAAGGAGGGTGGCATAGTCAGGGTTTACTTTTTGAAGATGATGCAGATGTGAAACAGGTATTCTGGTCAAGGGAAAGGTGCTTCTGGTCATGGCACAGAAAGCTGAGAATGAGTATGGTTGTCTCTTCATCTTCAATATTTGTTAGCTCTGTTAGCTACAATGCAAAAAAAAATGGGGAGTGCAAATAGCCTTGCTGTAAGCACTTCTTGCATGAGAGACTACTGGAGCTCTTAATAGGCCAGTTCACAGGATAAGGAAAGTAGGGGAAGAACTGGTATTTCTAATAACACAACTTGCGCTCCAGCCCCCAGTTCACATAGGCATGCATCATCCTCACCTTGGATTTTTTTTTTGCAGGTAGAGGGGGAGAACAAAAAGAGCAACTTTTCAAGACAATGAAATCTTTGTGCAAGGGCTTTGGAATGATTTGTGTTAGCCTTGATTTTCTGAGACACCAGCAAAAAAGATAGTGAGGAGGAAGACTTTTCTGGTGCAGTTTATTCCAGTCTGTGTCTTGCCTCTGGCAGGGCTCAGCCCTGGATTTTATCTAGGCTGTTTCTGTACAAACCAGCCTGCCTTCCAGATGTCCAGTCCAATGTTCTCTGTTTGCTAAGGGCAGATACTGTTTGCTTTTTCTAAATTTTTTTTTACAACACTTAGATTTAAAACCAAGAGAGTAGGGAAGAGTAAAAATGCATAATGTGACAGATGACAGGGCTGGAGAAGCATCTAGTCAAACCCCCTGTGGCAGGGCAGTCTCAACTCAACCCCAAACCATCTCTGACAGATGTTCATCTAACCTCATCTCAAAGACCACATTGTAAATATGTGCATGTGTGTTCATGCATGCCGTTTGGAGAAGACTGTATATGTCAGGCTGAATTCTGATTGTGCTTGCACCAAGAGTAATGCTTTGCAAATCAATGGACTTTCTCTGAATTGAAATCTGTGATGCTAATAAGAATACAGCCTTAAAATCAAACTCTGTGTGTATGTCATGTGTACCCTGCTATAACTCACTGATGCCCTCCTAGGAGGGATCAGAGTCACTGCTCAGTGCTCCTGCATACAGATGGGTGATTAGATCCTGGATCCACCGCTGCTGTCTCAAGGGCAAACTCAAAACCAGCAACCAGCCACACCATCACTTAAGCCAGTGGGCTGTCTTGCTCTGCCACATCCTAGTCTTCTATAGGGTCATTTTTTTCAAAAGTACTTAGCGTAAAAGGGCTTTGATCACACTAAAAGAAACAAGTTCTCCTAACGCCCTCTGGAGAAGTCAGCATAAACAGGGCAAAAGAGTAAAACTCAAAAATGCCAGCTGGCTGCTACTCAGCCTTGGAGATATAGGTGTGAACAGTGTCAGAGTATCACTGAGGACAGGTGAGTGGTATTCACAGGAAAGGAGCAGTAGTTGGCTAGATCTGTAGTATTCTTGCAGCAAGCATTTGAGAAAAGCAGCCATGTTTATAGCAAACTTTGCTTTCCCTCCCAGAACCTGACTGAAGCCATTCAGAATGGAGTATATCCTATTGGAAATGAATCACAGATTGAAGACAGTAACTGGGATTTCAGTAATTCCTTCTTCTTTGCAGGCACAGTTGTCTCCACAATAGGTAGGTCTAATGCTTTCCATGTGTGTGTGTTTGTGTGATGCTTACTATGTCTGGTTATTAGGACCTGAATGGATAATACTTTCAAGGATAAAAATCCAGGTCTTCATTGCCATGGATGGTAAGCAGCAACGGAATTGGTCCTGAGACCTCACCACTGCACAGCTCTTCATGCATTATTTTGCCTTGTGAAATACCAGTGGCCTTTCATATTTTTTCCCACTTGTTTCTTCTTTTCAAGCCATCTGTGAAAATGTTCGCTCTGCTGCCAGTTGTGGGTGGGAGATAAACCTCACTTTCCTGGTCTTGATTCTAGGGTCAAATAGGCTTTAAATCAAGAGTGCTGTAAAGCATAAAAGAATGGTAGGAAAGAAGCGAACTCTGCTGGGGCATAGACACTGTCTCAATAACCTATGCTGAGCTGTTAGTGTAAATCTTGAATTAGTAATATGCCAGGAGGAAAAGAATGGGAGCAGGGCAAGGCAAATGCAGAGACTTTTACACTGCTGCTTCAAGCTGTTCTGACCTTTTCAAGGGCTGCCTTCCCCTGCCTGCCTCTCCTATTCTCTCAAATATGCATGCCAAAAAGTGCAGTCCTGCCAAATTTAAGCATAGCCTATACCAGCTACTATGAAGAAAAGTAACTCTCTCCCAGCCAAAACCAGCACAGGCAGGCAGGCCGTCCCAGGAAAATTGCAACTTTGCCTGTTTCTCTGCACCTTCACGGCAGAGGTCTGTTGTGAAGGTACATCAGGTTCTTTCACTCATTTTCATCAGCTTTTGTCATGAAAATGGAATATTTCTGCAACATGGAGCACAAGACAGCTCAAGCATTTGAGGGTCTAGTAGCCAACAAATCACTCAGTTGTTTTATTTGTCTTTTCCCCCAAAGAAAATACTGCATTTTTCAAGTAATGGATGCCTTGAGATGAACTGTGCTTGGGAAAGTGCCTTTTCTCAGCGTCACTGATAAAAGACATACACAAAGTACAAGACTCTTGCACTCAGAGATGTACCTCACAGGGTCTAAGAGGACCAAAGTCTCCAGTCCATTAAAGGACATGTTTGGAGTTCTGCAGCCATTGTTCCGCTACTTAGATAAATCTTTTAGTAGGACTTTAAGACAAATATCTCTCTGGCATGAATAAATCAGCCACTAGTACGGTCTGGACTAATTAGCACCATCTATTCTAATGCACACTGCACTGCCTCCAGGACTGGAGCCAGTATCTGGACATACCAACTTACTGGCATTTAGCCAGGGAGGTCACTAACACACACGCAGATCGACAAGAAGCTAGAGATGGCTATATGTGATTCTGACATGGCAAACAGCCTGGGACTCCAGTCTTGATGTCTTTCAGGTCCCCAGACTTCTGTTTTCTGTCTTTCTGTGTATTTGTCACAGGACAGAGGATGTTTTCCATAACTGCTCTTAGACTGTGCTTTCATTCCCACTAAGGCTGGGTTGGGAGCACACACAGAGAGTGCTCTCTGCATCCCCTAAAGCATGCAGGCTGAATCACTTAATCTGCTTACTGCCTTTTCCAGAGAAAAAAGAGTGCATGTGGACTGGGAAGTGCTAGTTATATCTTTTGGGGTCAAAGGCAGGCAAGGTTGGGGTAGGTGTGAATGTGACAGTGGACTGCTCCAGTTCTCTGGACTATCTCCTCTGACCCATCTTTTTTTCATAGGCTATGGCACTCTACGTCCTAAAACTGCTGGGGGACAGATCTTCTGTGTCTTTTTTGCTCTGTTCGGAATCCCTCTGAATATTGTTTTTCTGCACCGTGTTGGTAAGATGCTCTCACTGCTGTGTAAAAAGCTGGGGAAATTCCTGTACAAGAAAGGATTGAGAAAGGTAATGGATTTGACTTATCCAGGCATAGTTATATGCTCATTTCTAATTTCTTTTCTCAAAATGTATGCTGGATTATCCTCTATTGTATTTGTTCTCATGCGGCGTTAGACTTTGTGCTAGGAGAGGGAAAGA